GGCGGCGGCCACATGAATGAATATGAATATGAGTGTGGCGCTCTCTTTGGCTCTCGCTCTTCACTTCTCTCGCTGGTGACCCTACTTCGTACGAGTTCGTGGAAACTTCGGTTTCGAGTTTGAAGACTATTTCGCTAACTTCGTGTTGCATCGAACATGTTTGAGGCGGTCTATGGCGAGAAGGGGCACCACCGATAACCGGAAACGGAAATCATATTTGGGCAATTCTAATGCCATGAGCAATTGCAATTAAATGGCCAAAATGCCAATTGTTATTGAGACAGGGAGAGGGAGAGGGAGAGGGAGAGACAGACAGAAGCAGCCATTAACCGCTAATGCAGGACCGTAAATCGAATCGAAAAAGGAAGGTGTGTCACGCGGACTTATAAATAAAATTAACAACCAAAGTCAAGAGCGGCGAGGTAAACGGCGAGGTTAAAGCGGAAATATTTGCGCGACTGCTACTCCCCTCTGTTTGCTGTTGTTGCTGTAATTAATGGCAAACAATTACAAAAGAAAAAAAATGAAACAAATAAAGCAGAAAACACACACACTCAGCGGTCGAAAGACAAATGAACGCAGAAACGCAGAAGGAAGAAAGAATTACAAAATAAAATGCGAAGGAAGAGCAAGTTAAAAAGTGAATTACCTGATAAAGGACAAAATATCGCGATTTGAGGTGTGTTTGCCAACCAAACAACCCCCTTGCCTCCTCTCTTTTTTATTATCTTTAACCCACTGTGACTTCACAGTCAATCCGTCCCGAGAACAATGCGTGTGTCGCGGGTTAACCACCGGGTGCCCAGCATGATGTCTCCACTGTGCACAGTGGAGAGCAAACGAAATATGTTTAGGGAATTAAGAAGATTTCATCGATTTCCGGAATGGATTCTATAAATCAATTGCAAACTGATAGAGTATATAAACTTTGACTTACCCAAGTTAGTTTACTGTCTTGTTAAATATTAATATAGTTTACAAATAATTTTTCCATTTAAAAAGCAGTTATTGAAGGTAAAATATAACCTTTAATTTTTAATACCAATGTAGCAAGTATTATTTCCTGTTTCTTTGCACTTTAAATACGCTACCCATAAATTATAATTATTTATAGTTCTTATTTCAAACTTTGTTGGATCATCCCCTTTTTGCTTTGTTCCACTGTGCCTATCCTTTCATTATTGGCTCCTCCTCACCCTTTTCTCCTTGCCCCTCCCCAACCCTTGTAACAGCAGCGGTCAGTGTCCAGCTGACTCGCTTAATTAATTACGCGATTGTATTTGTGACTAACTGCTTACGATTTCCTCTTGGCCGTCTCCTTCTTGGCCTCAAAATTCTGTGGTAATGCAATCGCTTATTTTGCTGTCTGTTGTGTGGGAGGGGGGGAGAAGGACATGGACATGGACATGGACTGGGAGAGGGGGCAAGGACATCGCGTCACTGGGGAGAAATTAATACCCACTTAAGCTGAACTGGACAGTTGCTGCCTTCTTCTTCTGAAGATTCTTCTGGCTTTTTCATTTTTTTTTTTTCGATTTTTCGATTCTTCTTATTTGCCAAAAGGTGATTCACTTTGCTCATAAATAAAGTGTTCTTTTTCAGTAAGGTGATTCCATTTTACTGTGTTCTGACTTTAGTCTGGTGAACCACTTATTTCGACACCTTTTAGTTTTATATTTTCAGGTAATTCCTTGAGTCCTGCAATTATCCTAGCTGGGTTAAGACCCACACACTTATTATTTAGTCGCATTTCATCAAATTATGAAGTAAAAAGCGTTTTTATTACCGAAAATTACAATGTGCGAACGAAAAGAGAGGCGGCTTATGGCTGAAGGGGTCAATGGCAGAAGAAGTACACTCAAAAAAAATACTTAGGAATAAAGAAAGTAAGGAAAATAAATTATATGTTTAATAAATAATTTAAGCTTTTAAATTTTCTTTAAAGGCTTTGGTTAGGAACTTTCATGACTAATTTTAGCCAGAAATATATTCTCTGTATCCCTATTCTTTCTGTGTAATATTTCCAAAGGACCAACAGCAGACGGGGTTTCCCCTTCGATTCCAGCTGTCCTTCGGTCAGTCTGACTCCTTCTTCTATTTTTGGGATGGTTGGATAGTTGTGGGCCCGTCAGCAAATAACACTCTGCCTTAGCCCTTAACCCCAGGAAAAGCCTAGCGGGAGGTTAATTTCATTAGAAATTCATAATTTTTCTGTTATTTTGGGGGGGGGAAAAGGACCCCGTCGAAGGGCGTTGCTTGGACATGTGTAAATGTGGGCAATAAAAAATAAATTTCATATTTCCAACGCTGCTCCTGCTGTTGTTGTTGTTTCTGTGTTATTATTGTCGTAATTTGTTTATAACGGTATTTATGAAATGGTCACAAGTCAACGCGTTTCACAAAAAAAAAAAAAAGAAAACAACAACTAAAGGACTTGGCAACCCCTGAACACGCACCAGGCTATCCCCATCCTGTGAGTCCCCTATCACCAATTATTCTTATTACGCCTATTACTATATACTTTTTTTTTAACCACTTTCCATTGTTGCTGTTGTTATGGTGTTAGAGGATCCGGGCTTTTCCCCCTCTCCCCACCCTCACCGCGTTTGCTGACCTTTTATGTTAATCGCATTTTGGCCGGGATCAAGTTGGTAAGAGAGGGGTAGAGAGAGGTCTTGTAGCCAGTAATTGATATGCGTCCTAATCATGCAATCCTTTGTTACCTCCTTCCAAATCCAACAATTTTCCACCCACTCCAGGCGTGAGTGGGGGGAAACACAACTTTGGTTTTGCGGCTTGTTTAGTTGTAGTTAGGAAGAAGTAATTACAAGCATTTGCTGCTGAGGGGTTTATGTTAAAGCCAAATGACGTCAGCCCTCAATTAATGATCGAAGCAAATATCAGGAATTACCAAGTCATTTTTTTGGGTGAATCAGAATAATAAATGTGTGCAAAAATAGGAGAAATTATAATTAAAGTTTTCTTTATATAGAAATTATGGTTATTCTGGTTCATATAATTATTGTTTTAATTTAAGTAAAGAGAAAAGAGCACATTGCATGCAAGGACACACTGGCACCATTTACGGTCATATTAATAAGCTTTGTATTGCGCTTTGGTCATATTGGAACACTTTATAAATATTTTAAATTGCCTTAAAACAGCAAACATATATCTTTATCATTAAGTAATTGAGTTAGAGATCTAAATTCAGTCTTAACAAACCCCTATTGAACTTAAACTAAAGTTTTAAATACCATACTATAAACCCTACACCAAACTGCGCCTTAGATTTCAGTTTCTTATAAATAGCTGGAATTTACTGGCTAATTAATAAACTTTCACATATCTGATTTGGAAATCTTTTCACTTGCAGCCGCTGAATGAATGGTTTGAAATCCAACCGAAAATCGTTTTATGTAAATTATCGAAACGAGAAAGAGATGTCGAGGGAGACAGAGAAATAAGTTGGAGATGGGTTGAGATGCTGTGGGGATTTTTAATTGTGTTGTTGTATTATAATTTATTGCATTTTGATAGTTGGAGTTTAATTACAGCATTTCACTCGTCGCATGTTCGTAGTGAAAGTGCAAGTGGTGAAGAGACCACCGATCCCGGTTACAGAGATACGAGATCTTGGGCAGCGGTTCACCTTTGACCTATCGAGCGGTTCAGGTAGAAACAGTTGCACTCGTGACCCCTCTGGAAATCATAAAACAATAAATCTTTTTAATATCTCTTCTTGTTCTTGAACCCAAATTCTACTACTTCTTCTTAGTATTATTATTATTTTATTTTTTGTTTCGTGGGCGTTCGTTTTCCCTTTTCTTTTTTGCTTTTTGAATTTCTGGGAGAGTTTCTCACGTCCTTCGAGGGTTCGAGGGTGAGGTCAGCAAAAGCGGGGGGCGTGGCCATTAGTCAAGTTTGTGGATTTGAAGTAATAACTCAGTGCGTCATAAAAATTTTAATTGCTTTGGGTTTTTCTTCTTCTGTTTCGCCTCCGTCCGAGTGCGAAAGCAGTTCGGGTAATTAACATTAACCCAAAAATGTCCAAGAAAACAAAAAAGCTGGAACAATGCAAAAGCACCCACAACAACATCGGCAACATCAGCAACATGCCATGAACAATGAGGCAATAAAAATTGCAGCGCATAATTTTCCACCACCGAGAAAACCCTTTTTTTCTTAGCTGGGACGTTGTTATTGCTGAAAATTTCCACGCGTATCAGTAATTAGTTTGGTTATTGTTATTCCCTCTTTTTTTTGGGTGTAAAGTTTGGGGATGTTTGGTGGAATTACTACTTTAATTAGTGTTTCTTTTCACCTTGAATTTTGGGGGGAAGAAAGGAACAAAGGAATATCATAGAGAAATAAATAGTTAAAATATAAAGGAATCTTATTCTAGGCAAATTATATCCCTAAAGTATGCTATATAAATTACAGGATAATGTCATGTCATAATCGGGGCTTATTTATTTATTATTTTTCTGTTACAAACTCTTTTTTAAATCAAAAGCTTTGTTATTAAACCGTATACGAAACACCTTACCGTGGCTAGCATTTGGTCAAGACAGGTATCTTGACCATCCGATATCAGGACAAAAGGCCAAAGGTGGTCACGTCAAGTCTGAAAATTTATATGTGGGATCAAAAGGTCAAAAATCAACAGCAATTGTTGCAGTGTCCCTTGTGTGTGTGTGTGTGCCTTTTTTGGAGTGCTAAGTGGGTGCAATTAGACCGAAGAACAGGTAACAAAAATACCTGCAAATGAATTTGAGTTAAGGTTATCCCAAAAATTCCATTTCTATTCCTATTTCAGTTTCGTTTTCGGTCAATCTTGAAAGGTCTTTGATCCTAATGCAACGAATTGAGCCACGCATCGAAAGGTGGCAATAAATTCTGATTGCAATTGACACTTTTATCGCAGGCTCAACGAATCGAGAGAAAAAGGGGATTTTTTAAACTAACTTCTATGTATTTTCTTCTTTTTTTTCTTATAGCAAACTCAGACTCTCGGTTGCAGCTGAAGGTAGCTGATGTTCACGGGCTAAAAGAAAACAACAATTGAAAGGAAAATCCATCTGCTGAATAGATTGCAGCACTGAAACGCTGCTAACATCAAGAGGCATTTGCGGCATTAACCAGCAGCAACATGTGAGTACCACTCAAATTTCCATTAAGTGAAACTGGGCAAATCAATTCGCTAATTGAATGCCCGCGCAATTGAAAAGCTTCTTAATGTTGTTAAATTGAACAAGTTGGCGGGTCTCCTCTGGGTCTCCTATATACTATATATATATATATATGTATACTCCTTCAGTTTTGCCCGGTTAACAACCTTAATAGAATCAAAGAGCAACGCAATATTACTTTTAATTTGGCGTAATTGTGGCAGCTCTCAGGCGTCTCCTCATACCGCCCAAGTCTCACTCTGTGGATACTTTTAGTTTTTTTATATAAACTCAAATCTCTCGGTGTATAAGCACTGAGGAAAAGTTTTTGAACTAATTTTTAAAAGGCATTTTTAGAGATTTTTGAAGATGATTTTTAGAGATTTTTAAAGATGATTTTTAGAGATTTAAAAAGATGATTTTCAAATATTTTTAAAAAGTTTTTTTTAGAGATTTTAAAAGATGCTTTTTTGAGATTTTTAAAGAAGATTTTTAGAGCTTTAAAAGATGATGAAAAATGATTTTTAAAATTTTTAGAGATTTTAAAATTTTTAGAGATTTTTAAAATGAATTTTAGAGATTTTTAAAGACGATTTTAAGAGATTTTAAAAATGAATTTTAAAGATAATTTTGATATATTTTTAGGGATGATTTTAAGACATTTTAAAAATGATTTTAGAGATTTTTAAAGATGATTTTCATTACAATAAAGGAAAGCCTTTAAGGATCTGTTTCTTATAAGAGATTCTTCTTCAAAGTCTCAGCTTTTGCTTCTAAGATACAAATATTTTATGGTAATTAACTTTAATCTCTTAAAATCCAATTAAAAATCTAGATTTTCTTTGAGTGTATCTCCTTCTCCTACCTCCCTCTGTACTCATGTCTAGTTTTACCCACAGATTTACTTGACTTTGCGGTTCTATGGCAACGAATAAAAAACTAAATAAATTTGAATTGGTCAAAGCAAATGCTAAAAAAATATAAGAAAAGGGAAAACATCTTCCCCTTTTGAAGGGTGTGGGTGGTTCAGGGGGTTGATTGCCTCGGCAAATGATGAAATCAATTAACCAAATGGCGCGAGTACTCGACTGCCGGCTGACTTTTTGCATTGGTTAATAACCGTTTGCAAAAAAAAAAAAATAACAAGAAATCAAAATATATACACAGACAGACAGCAAAAAAAGCTAGAGAATTGAAATCAAATTCAAAAAATATCTTTAAAGGGGTACATTCATTCCTCCCCCTTCGTTTCTCTAAACCCATCAACCTCAAAGCAAAAAGCCACCGAAAAATCTGTCTGTCTGCGAGGAGCTTCTTCAATTGTCTGCACTTGAGTTCAATTTCTTTGCTTTTAAAGCTCGCATGCAGAGAGTGAGTCCCGGGAATTGGGAGGGGAGAAGATATTTTCGTCATAACTATAAATTTTATTGAGATTCAAATGGTCTGCGTACAAATTTAGACACAATTATTACTTACTTCAATGACGCCAAGCGGAGCAGCCCAAAAAGGGAAATGTGAGCTCTAGATGGGGGTTCATTTTCAGTTGTTGTTTCTTTTTGGAGCGGGAAAAATCATTCCATGGGGTCGGTTTTGAACAGAAATTATTGAGTTTTAAATTTGTATATATTTTAGATCTTTATTTGTGTCAAATACTTGGGTTTCGATAAGAATAATTGTTGGAAACGGGGTTGAAAAAATATATTACAGTTGAAGCTTAGTTTCTAGCAAAGTTTTACGGATTTTAGATACATTTTATCAACATCATTTTATTAACTATAAAGAAATATACATTTTTAGATTATTTTTGAATCAAAATGTTGCAAATTTAAGCTAGAAATATGGTTTTATTTATAGAAATATATTATAGAAATACAAACCAGCATTTCTTTGTAAATAATACCTTAAATTGTTATTCAAAAATCGTTTGTGGGATAGATTTCACTACATTTTTGGTCTATATTGTCTCAATATTTGGATATTTACTTTAAATATAGTTGGAACATCCTTAAAAATACTGTAGTTGAAGCTTGGTTCTGGGAAGGTTTGAAAAATTTCAATTTCAATTTAGAGACTTTTTTAACATATTTTGATAACTGTAACGAAATATAAATTTTTAGATTATTGGCGAATCATAATATAGATTTTAACAAAGTTTTAAATATGATTTAAATAGGTTTTTAATCACACATTGTTTACTATAAATAATATAAATTTATACACAATTTTCTCATCGAAATGTATATATATTGTAGAAATGCAAATTTAGGTAATTAAATTTAATTTGATTTTAGCAAATTCTTTATAGTTTTCTTCCCTTAAACCCCTTTCTCTCCTAAATTTCTCTGTAAGATCTTAAACCCTAGCCCCTTTCCTAGCCTCCCACCTTTATCCACTTAATAGACAGTTCGTCAAATGACAATTACAACGACTTAATTACTTTTAATAAAGACGTCCGTATGTACAGCTCTTCATTAGCGATACTCGCGACTTTTTTGCATAATGCCTCATTATGCTTAGCCCCCAGAAAAAATAATAAAAAACGAAGGGTAGTTTCTAGAAGGGGACTATAGAGGAGGGGATGCTCGCCTTAATACATTCAAATTGAAAATTGATGAATTTTTCCGGTACAGAGGAGAAGTCTCAAAACAAAACAAAACAAAACAAAGAAATGCAGCTGGCCCCATCCAACGCTCTCGAGTATCAATTAGTGCGGGATTACCGAGGCGATCGATCGATCGAATCGATCTATCGATCTATTTACCGATCGACCAACAATCAATGGCAATTGCTGCCGAAGGGAAATTACTAATAATAATGACTTTAATTGAATATTGCGCACTTCATTCACTTTGGCGTTCTAAATTTGAATTTAGAACAAGATAGGAGGGGAAAGGGAGGAGGAGGCACCGAGCACAGCGCATATTATTATCCATTATAAACTTCCAATCGACCATAAACACTTGGGCTGGGAATGGAAATGGGAGGAAATGGGAGCTGAATCGATCCATGGCATTGTCACAGCAGCGATTTTATATATTTGGAAAATGCCGGGTAATGAAGTTCGCCGAGTGTACTCACTCAGTTAAGTTACCAAATGAACGATTCAAGCATGAAAGCAATTTTTAATTTATTTTGGTTCAGCGATTCACTTTTTTTTGTCCTCAAAATTATGACATAATAACAACAGAAGCGATACACTTGGGATTATTTTTGATTGGGAAAAGAATTAAAAGGAAAGATGGAAAATATTAAGATAATAAGAAAGATCTGTCAAAATAATTACCAATTATTCTAATTACTAACTTTATTATTAATTGTCATATTTATTTTGCATATAACATTGTTTTTAAATAATTAGAAATAATTAATGGGAATTAATTTTTACTTGGAAAAGATTAGCAGGAAAGGCGAAAGATGTTAAAGGAAATCTTATGAAATAATTACACATTATTTTTAGTTTTTATTCAAAGTATAACTTGGTTTTTAAACATTACAAATGTTTTTAAAATAGCGACGCACTTGGAATTATTTAGATTTTTAGAAAAGAATTATTAATATATAAAATAGTGAATAGAATCAAAGTAATACTTTATTATTTATAAATTTTATTCTGAAAATAACTTGGTTCCCAATAATTACAGAATCCTTTTACAACTTAAGGCTCAGAACAGTTTTATTAAATCAAGTTCAGTTTATTAGAAAAATATAAAAAATACTTAAGAACTAAATTGATTATTTCCAATTCAATTTCTAAATATTCCAATCTTTCCATACGATTTTAAATATTATAAAATATCTTCAGACAAACTTTATACATTTTCATTAACTAAACTAAGATTTTTCCCAGTGCAAATCAGCGAACCACCTAATAATGTCATATAGAAATTTACGAGTACCCGAACCCGGGTTTCCAAAAAGCCAACACAGCTGGGAAGGGGAAAACCGAGCAGGAAATCAGGAAGGGGATCATAGGGGAAAATCAGAGGGGGAAAACTCAGCAAAATGAACACCTCGACGGCGATGACAACAACAGTGTGGGAAAAGTATATTTGGATGCCGCTGGCAAACACCTTCCGCTTCAGAAATCAGCGCTGTGCTGCGATGTGGCATGTGTGGCATGGAGGAGGAACTGGGAGCTGGAAGCTGGAGAGGTGCTGGAGAGCTGTGAACCCGCGACACTGACCAGTTGTCAGTCGGTTAATGTTATAATTAACCCGCTGGTCACATCAATCGATATTCCCCCGGCAGTTGACCCCCCAAACGCAACGCAAAGTCGCTTGGGTCAGATTAAACCCAGATGGATTTGAAAAATCCCAATGACACTTTGTAAAACAACGAGAATAGATTGTGTATCGATAAGTCAAAGTTAAAATATTTGGGGGTTTTATAAAGATATTTACTGTATAAGAGACAAGAATCCTAGATTCCTGTAGAGTATCTTTTATTTACAAGAATCCCTGCAGAGTATCTTTCACTTACAAGATATTTAATATATATAAAACAAGAATCCTAAAATCCCTGTAGAGTATCTTTCACTTAAAAGATATTTAATATATGTATTTAAAACAAGAATCCTAGAATTCCTGTTGAGTATCTTTGACAAATTTTAAAATTTTCTGGAATCTAAAACCAAACTAGTTTAATCATTCCTAAAACTGTAGATACTTTTGTTTTTAGAAACTGTACCAACAGTTATGGAAACTCTATAAAAAAAGGCTATAATTGATTTGGAATTTTTTGTTTTGTAGGGTCTAAACAATTAAGTTGGGAATACCGTGGGCGAGAGAGGGAGATGGTCTAAAGTATGTAAACACGATCATTAAATAAAAACCATTGAAAACGAACAAGAAACGAAACAATAAAAGGCACAGATACACAGATACAGATACACCGAAACAGATACAGATACAAAAATGCAAAGAGAGCGCGTGGAAGCGAGAGGCAAATAGAAAAAAATAGAAAACCGAGGAGGTGGAAAAGGCA